CTCGGAGTTTTCTCATCATCCATGCCTTATAGCACCTCGTATATTTCTTCTCTGGTCAGTGGGTTGTTGTGATAAGAGCGCCCCCGGGTTTTGCAGCTGCGTTGTCCTTGCTTGAGTCAAGGCGTCTTCCACCCACTGTGTTGAGTGCGAGGTGAAGAGGTCTCGATAGTATAATGTGGCATAATCGACCACCTTGTAAGGATTTGTCGTTGTTGGTTGGTGGCGGTCAAACGGGTGTTTCAGTCCAGCGACCAGGTTTTGTCTAGATCTGCATTTTGCCTTTTGGAAGAAGGCTTTGGACATTGTGCCCTCTGTTGTGCCCTTGCGTATGTGTGCTTGGATCCTCCATGCTTCCGCCCTTTGGTCTAGGTAGGCGTAAAGGTGGTCCCGAGCTTGCTGCAGTTGATCGAATGTGTGCGTGTCTAAGGGGCGGTCTGCTAACTCGTTGTCCCATTCTTCCAATGACTTAAGCAATGCTTCCAGAACTGCCCTTTTTTCTCTTGTGTGCTTGATTGAAAACTTATTGACCCGTTCTCTCAGCCTGACCACCCCTTCATTAAACCATTCGACCCGCGAGGGGCGTCGGTGTTTGCATGTGGACCAATAAGCCCAGAACTATTTCACCTGATCCTTAAATTTCGTCAAGCTTGAGGAGAGAGGTGTCGAGTTTGTAGAAGCCCTGGCCTCTTTCTATGAGGGCGTGGAAGGAAAGACCGAGCACGGTGCATTTGTGGTCCAAGGCTCTGCATGAGCTGGCCAGGCTTATTTCTGCCACCGTGCCAACCAGCGTCCCGATGAGGTCACGAGACATGAGTATGAGATCTATTCGGGAATTGGAGAGTCCCGCCTTTCCCCTAGATCTAATGCATGTGTAGGCTCTTTTGTTCGGGTGTAGCAGTTTGTATGTATCCAGGAGTTGTCTTTCTGCCATTAGATTGCCCAGTCGGGTGATGTCCGACGTTACCGGGTGGGAATCCCCGGGGTGCTGCTGACCTCCTGTCCATATTGGGATCCGGTGTTATATTGAGGTCACCTGCAATCCTCCCACGGGATATGTTCCTCCAGATCGTGCAAGAAGGTCACTCGTTCAATTGGGTCGTTTGGTCCGTACGCACTTACCAGGCCTATTCTTTCTTCCCCCACTGTGGCCAGCAGGTACACCCACCTTTCATTTTGGCGATCGTAGTCCCAACTGAGAGGGATGAACCTTGAGGAGGGTGGTCCTGACAGGCGGAAGGGGCCAGCAGATAGTAGTGGAGCGAGCGAGCGAGACCCAAAAAGACCTGAAAGGCCGTCCTGTCAGGTTCGACAGATAATATACCTTATACGAAAAAAGAAAAAAAGAAAAAAAGAAACGGATATCCAACAGATCGCAACTTCTATCTGTTTTTCCTCCTCTCGCCGGTTGGTGCGCCTGACACATCTGCGCGGTAAGGACGGGGAGTGGGAGGGGAGGGCAAGGAAGGGGAGAAGTTGGGCGGGGCGGGG